GAGTACACTTTTTCTACAAGTCCCCTATTCACGGTCCAGGAGTCCAGTTTATCCAGTCACGCCGTCCTGTGTGTTGTGCCCGAAAGAGAACACATTTTCAGTTTTGCTTGCCTCGTGGCAGCGCATTCCTTTCTTCACTTCAGCCATGGCTGCCAATTCTGCTGTGCAGTTGCTGACAGTAATCTGTCTCGAGCTAACCAAGGACGATAAGGAGACGTTCAAAATCAAATCTGGAAAGCGTCTTGTGGTTCTCTGAAGACGTTTCATCAGTGCGCGGGATGAAAGCAGAAATTGCAGAACGAGAAAAGTTCAGCACAGTTCAAATCTGACGAGTCAGGTACACTGACGCTCTCTTTCGTTCGACGCCACAAGGATCCCCTGTTTGGCTGGCCATTGCTGCCAGTAAGACGTTTGAACGGTTTCATCAGAGCGAGGGATGAAAGCAGAAAGCGGAGAAAGAGAAAAGTTCAGCACAGTTGCAATCTGACGAGTCAGATACACTGACGCTCTCTTTCGTTCGACGCCACAAGGATACCCCTGTTTGACTGGACAAGAGCTGCCTGTACCACCGTGTCAAAAGGCTGTCCAACTACATGGCAGGACGATGACTGAGGTAAGGAAGCTTTTACTCGTTTCGATTGGTCTGCTGTTCTGTCGTTATGCTTGAATTTTTTTTCCATTTTCAAGGACCGTATCGCGTTTGTTTGATGTTGCTTGAATGAATGCCCTAAAAGTAATCAACCACTTCGTAATAGTCCTCAAGGACTGCAAGGACTTTGCATCAATCGTATATGATCGTCTAGCTATCATCAATTATTATTTTATTTCATGAGAAATGTATTTTTATCCCTGTGATAATTATGTGAACTCCACGACACTCTTCCTGTAGTATGATGTCAAATACAATGGGATCCACAAACGCAGTGCCAGTGTACTAGTAGTAGTAGTAGGACTAGGAGGATTGCTTGTGTGCCAATGACAAGAAAAAGCTTCTCAAGCTAATACTCGTATTCCCTGAAGTAACCGTTTTGATGTCACGAACCGGGGGATGATGACATTGTGTCAGTGAAACTGCCTCGTGACAACAAATCATTGCATTTCCATCTTGGGGAAGACTGACTGACAGCAACGCTGTACAGATTGTTCAAATCATCTCATTTCAATTTAGTTGCAGTGAAGTGAAACACTGTGTACACTACATGTATGTTGGTGTGTCTGTGCGTCTTGAGTGTGCACAAACGATCTTATTCCTCGTATTACTAATAGATTATTGTCCCCACCATCACCTGTTCACAGGTCTTTGAGTGGATTGATTTGCATTGAGCATCACATTCGTTGAGAACTTGGTAGTTGTGTGCTCCCATGCATCATTACGGTAATAAGCGTATCCTTGTGCTATCTATTTGTTGCAGGTGTGCTGATCTTCAGAAGCTTGCGGAACTGAGTGCTGCTGAACATTTGCATGGCCATGAGCGATGGTGAAGCTTGCTATTGCACTCTCAGCATGTGCTAGTATTATGCTGACCACTGCACTATGTTACTCTCTTACACTACTACGTGTATGTAAACGTGCGTGTACCCGTCCCCGTACGCATTCGTTTCGTATAATTATTTGTTATCCCTCTTGACTTTACATGTAAATGGGTGGACGTTTGCATGGCTGTTGGAGTTGCGTGTGTATTGTGTCTCTACTCTTTTCTTGGTGTTTTCTTGGCGTTGTATAAGTTTGTGTGTGTGTGTGTGTGTGTGTGTGTGCGCGCGCGCACAATAATTTGAAAACAAATAATTAATCCTGGGCTCTCCCTTATTCTCTTTCGATTCTTGGTTTTTTCTAGGTATTTTCTTGGAGTTGTGTGGGTGTGTGCATGTGTGTATGCGTGCACAATAATTTGGCAACACTACATGATTGAGATATTGTAATTTGCAGCGTCTGCGAAGAGACCACTTGATTTGAGGATGGTGTTTGTAGGGTTTTTCATGTAATGAAGTGGCTGCAGTGGCGCCTCAATACATATTTTTTTATCTTGAGAAGTGAATGATGTAAAGGATTAAAGGGAGAGGCCGTTTTCTGGTTAATATTCACTGCTTACAGCAGATCCTATGTCTATTTTCGAACTCGATAGGGGATGCCTAATTGGCTGGACTTTATACAGGGGTGTTGTCCACATAAGGACTCCTTATAGTTGATTTCAAAGTTTGGACTCCGTACAGTTGATTTTGGACCAATGGACTCTATATAGGGGTGAAGCCAATTGGCTGGACTCTATACAGGGAGTGATGTCCATCGAAACTTTGAGCTCACAGTTGATTCCAAGTTTGGACTCTGTACAGTGGATTTTGGACCAATGGACTCTATATAGGGCTTGGACATCATATAGGGGCTGGACGCTCTACTGAGTCCAACATATATAAGGTGTTGAATGGAAGATCCTTACCACTCCGTCATACATGTACATGTACGGTAAATGTAGTTGATCAGAATTTGCAAAAATTCAGTCGTGTACTTCAACATTGATCGAATTGATGACATCCATGCATGCAGTATGGGGCTTACACTAGGGTGCAGCGGATAATGCTCCAAAACGGCTCTGAAAATGCTCGTATAATGCTAAGAGCCAATGATAAGTTCATAAGAAGAAAGGAGGACCAAAGAGCTACACTGTTGGTCATCGCACGAGCTGATTGTAAAGTAACCGGTGGTGTTAGTGGATATTTTAGCATAGCTTGTAGCTCTCTTGTCCTAAAATGGCATCCACATATTTAGGAAAAGGTCAAAAGTTGCTTACTAGTATATGATATCACAACTCGAAATGAGCGAACTCAAAATGACCGAATTCTTGTGCAGTTCTTGTGCATTCATTGACACAAAAAGAAACCCAAAAATAGGCAGCACTCTACTCTGGCGCAGTCCGACGGTAAAGGCATGCTACCTTTAAAGTGCATAGAAGTACATTGTATGAATGGCTTGTCAGGTACATTCGTGTTTACATATGTTCACTGAGTAAAACATGTCAGCTATCTATGTTAGCGATCTGACAATAAACTTGGAATGAGTCAGTGCCCTTTTAGTTGGCCACATCAAGTGCTAAAATTGGTGTGTGTCTGTCTGTATGTCGGCCTCTCGTACGTCACTATGAGGGGACATGTGACCGTCTTCCTGCAATGTTCCGGACAGGACAGGTGTGTGGGAGTGTGTGTGTGTGTCTGTGTGTTTGAAAGAGAGAGAGAGAGAGTGTGTGTATGTGTGTGTGTGTGAGAGAGAGTGTGTGTGAGTGTGTGAGAGAGAGAGTGTGTGTTTGTGAGAATGTGTAAGTGTGTGTGTGTGTATGTGTGTGTGTGTGTGTGTGTGTGTGTGTGTGTGTGTGTGTGTGTGTGTGTGTGTGTGTGTGTGTGAAAGTGTGTGTGTGTGTGTGTGTGTGTGTGAGAGAGAGTGTGTATGTGTGTGAGTGTGTGTGTGTGTATGTGTGTGCCAGCTAGTTCGGTTGGTAGGTACACTTATGCCTGATCGTGTTGGGTCTGTTGCCAATAGGCTCGGCTGCTTGAAGGTGTAATGTTGTACCTGCCACCTTTGTTGGTTCCAGGGTTCATATACTTTCTATTTGAAGTATACATACCTGTTAACCATGGACTGCTTCTGGCTAGATTAACTCTTGTGTAATCAATGGTGCTAGTGAAGCTTTTATCAGATCCACTCTGATTTAGCCACTCACATTAGTAGCACATATTACCTTCACTGGGGGCAGGGGCAACTGCAGTTGGATCCCGGGACGGATACCTGATGCCGTCAATCCTTTTTCTGCACCTTGTCCTCACCCACTTACTGAGGTGTGGTGAGCCCATAAGTGGGATCATTTTCAAGTCCACCCAGAGTTTTGGGGATTTCAGGGGGTGTCGGCCGTTGGGCGGTTCAATAACCAATTGAGTCATCTTTCCAAGATTCCTTTTGAGTCTCTCTCCCCTCTTCCGGGGGGACTCACGTGACCAGTTCTGGCAGTGAGCAACAAGTACAGTACAGTACAAGTACATGTGTGTGAGTGTGTGTACGAGAGTGTGTGTGAGAGAGAGAGAGAGTGTGTGTGTGTGTGTGTGTGTGTGTGTGTATGTGAGAGTGTGTGAGTGTGTTTGTGTGTGAGAGTGTGTGTGTGTGTGAGAGAGAGAGTGTGTGTGTGTGTGTGTGTGTGTGAGAGAGAGAGAGAGAGAAAGAGAGAGAGAGAGAGAGAGAGAGAGAGAGAGAGAGAAAGAGAGAGAGAGAGAGTAAGAGAGAGAGAGAGAGAGGGAGGAAGAGGGCGTGTGTGTATGTGTGTGTTCCGATGTATCAACAAGCTGACACGTCCCCTGCGTTCCTCTATGTTCACTCTACAATCAGCTGCTACGTGTACAGATAGGCGCACTAGAGGACAGTCCTTCTCGTCTATTTCTTTGCTTGCTGCTAAAATTAGATATGGCATGTTCTCTGTTACTTTCCTTGGCTCTGATCGGTGGAATTCTGTGCCTCTGTTGTGTCGCCAAGCTGATCAACCATCCGCTTTCATTTCGCTCTGCAAAGAGCTCATACGGTTCCCTGTAAAAAGACGGCAACGTCTGCAGGGATTTCCCTAACAAAATAATAAAATACTACTACTACTACTACTGCTACTGCTACTGCTACTGCTACTGCTACTGCTACTGCTACTGCTACTGCTACTGCTACTGCTACTGCTACTGCTACTGCTACTGCTACTCCTACTCCTACTCCTACTTCTACTTCTACTATGCTTTGTGTGTTGATTGACCTGACCAATGCTCTTTACTTTTTCGTCTTTCTGGTTTGCTAATAGACTGCAACGGGTATATATTCGAGAATGGAATTTTTATATATGGCTCGTTTGGCGAAACACGTCGAGCAATTTGTTATGCTGGGTACCAACCCAGGGCTTACTCAGGGGCGATCTGCACGGTCAAGAACGGTATTTATGGTTGGTATATTTTGGACTCTGTCCCGGAGGATAAGCTGTGCATCCGTAAGCATGGTCTGCTGTGGGACTGGTATTTATACTGAAATTTTACCGATTCGAGGTTTTCTATAAACCGGCAGGAGACAGAAGATTCAAGAAACGATTCAAGAAACGTTGTAGGGAATCTACAATTTGAAACTCGGATGAATCTACAATTTTTTTACTAAAAATCGCTAAAAGTTTAGTTTACTTATATATGAAGGAATCAATGGCTGGGTCAGCAAATTATGACTATGGGTGACGATTTCATGTTGTTTTTTAACCCACCATAGTTAGCTATAAAAAATGAAAGGAAAAGGAGAAGAAGAAAAAGAAGAAGATAAGGACGCAAATTGCGGTCTAAAGAAAGCCTTACCTGAATGCAGTTATAGTAGGAAGGCCATTTGTCTCCTGGTTCCGCAAACGCCGCAGTGAGTCGCCATTGCCATGGGTGGAGTGTTGCAATGCAGAAGAGAGCTACCCTGGCTAAGATTCGCCAATGTGAAAACTGGTGTACCCAGCGCGGGCTGGCTTGTTTGGAAGTGACAACTTTGCAAATGACCGCAGATCCTTTTCATGTCCGCGGGCCTGGGCAGGTAATGCTAGTATTGAAGTGTGCGATCTGGAATGAGCATAATGCCAGCCGATCATATTAAGAGAGCATGTATAAGAATACCAAAGTATGTGTGCAAGTGGATCTCTCCGATTTCGCTCAAAATTTGCAGGTAGGTTGCCTTTGGGGTGTGGATCGACTGTGCAAAGCCCTTGAAAAAGTTTCTGAAGGGAACCTTGAAATTTGCATACCCCTCAAAAATGGCCGAAATATCACATTATTTATGGGTCTAGAAACGAGTCACGCCACAGCGTATACGAACAAGCTATGAACAAAACTCCATCAAGCCAACATTGCCTCACCTTAGAAGAGTTCCTGGAGCAGTACCGCTTAGCCACGCCAGCATCCCAGAAGACGAGGTCCATCACCCCCTGACGCCACAAATGATCGTCTTGAAAATAGCCAATTTACAAGCGCTGGCAAAACAGCCAGCTACGTCCTCAATTGGCCAGAACTATACACCGGCAGATAGTAGAACACCTCTTCTAGCGCTGAGGACATGTCCCCCATCTTCCTTTTGGGGTTTTCTTGAAATAAACTTTTTTTTTTTCCACTCGACCATGCTGAAATACGGCCAAAGTCATACCTGCGCAGGAAAGCTCGCCCCTCCACGACGTCTCCTCAGCAATTTCTACTCCAACACTACTCCCAAGGCCGCAGAACAAAGTATAGTGTTGACTCTGACAAGGAAAAGCAGCGGTGATCACTTGTCACTCCAAACGACAAGCTTCTCCTTGCGCCACCAATAATTTTTTGTGCGACTGTTGATGCAAAAGTGACTGAAGGCCTGAGCGCAGTTTTTGAATTTTATTGCAAGATGCACGGTGAGATCGCGTGCTCTGTGACGTAGGATGACGCTTCCTGCATCACGATACGCGGCCAACGATCGTGAAAGTGCCTGGAACGCTACTCGGAACAGACCATGATGGCAGAGGTAAGATGAGCTTCATTTCCTGCTTGAACTGCTGAGTACCCCAACAAACTGTCCTAGGAGTGTTGCAATGGCAGCAAGCCGTTGAAATATGCCCCGTACAGCACGGAGAGTTATTCGTCTTTCACACTTACCTCCTGCAATCCCGAACATAGTCCAACAGTAAAAGTCCCTTGTTTTCATGCCGATGCTCGACAAAAGCGGCTAGCTCGGTCCCTGTGTAGACTGGCACGCGAGTAGCACTGACTGTACGCACTTGTCGCGTGAACTGCATGAGAGATTTCTTGCGTCATAAAGAATGTGATTTCATCATCATTTCACTGGTCTTCGACCTACATGGTCAGGGAAAGTCCCGGTTCGTAGGCCTACAACACTCCCAGCGTGTTCTTGAGCGCAGTAACAACACAAGTGGGATCACTTCCAGACCAACGGGCGTTCAACTAACGTGTTACTTAGCGAGTAACAAGCGCACTTGACGAAGGTGACTCTGAAATCTCGTGAGCCGTGGGCCACGCGACTTGGCATTCTTGCGTCACAAGGCACGTGACTTCACCGTGCATCTTGCAATAAAATTCAAAAACTGCGCCCAGGCCCTCAGTCACTTTTGCATCAACAGTCGTACAAAAAATTATTGGTGGCGCAAGGAGAAGCTTGTCGTTTGGAGTGACAAGTGATCACCGCTGCTTTTCCTTGTCAGAGTCAAAACTACACTTTGTTCTGCGGCCTTGGGAGTAGTGTTGGAGTAGAAATTGCTGAGGAGACGTCGCGACGGGGCGAGCTTTCCTGCGCAGGTATGACTTTGGCCGTATTTCAGCATGGTCGAGTGGAAAAATTCAAAAAAGTTTATTTCAAGAAAACCCGAAAAGGAAGATGGGGGACATGTCCTCAGCGGTAGAAGAGGTGTTCTACTATCTGCCGGTGTATAGTTCTGGCCAATTGAGGACGTACATGTAGCTGGCTGTTTTGCCAGCGCTTGTAAATTGGCTATTTTCAAGACGATCATTTGTGGCGTCAGGGGGTGATGGACCTCGTCTTCTGGGATGCTGGCGTGGCTAAGCGGTACTGCTCCAGGAACTCTTCTAAGGTGAGGCAATGTTGGCTTGATGGAGTTTTGTTCATAGCTTGTTCGTATACGCTGTGGCGTGACTCGTTTCTAGACCCATAAATAATGTGATATTTCGGCCATTTTTGAGGGGTATGCAAATTTCAAGGTTCCCTTCAGAAACTTTTTCAAGGGCTTTGCACAGTCGATCCACACCCCAAAAGGGAACCTACCTGCAAATTTTGAGCGAAATCGGAGAGATCCACTTGCACACATACTTTGGTATTCTCAGACATGCTCTCTTAAATGCTACATTTTTCCCCAAAAGTAGCAGTAAACATGAAGTCAGTTTGGAAGTGTTCGCCGTCTGTACAGTGTGGGGCGGTGGAGCGGTGTTTCCACAGGAAAGTCACCAGTACCGTAGTAATTTTCAATCCCACTCAAACAAATCTGAAGCTTCTCCGTGCATAGGGCGCGTTCGAATTGTCACTCTTTGACTTTCGAGGAGATTCGTTTTTTTCTGAAGAGGTGGTCTTAGTGGCCTCTTCAGAAAAACCAAGCTCCTCGAAACTCCTCGAAACTCCACAACCTCACCCGATGGGAGAGGTGGATTAGTTCCGAAGAGTTTGGAATAGCCACGTAGTACGTGAATATAGTCGATCTGATCGGACGTCATCATCGCCATGACAATTCCACTGAAAAACTCTAAAAAAGATAGAAACCATAGCATTTAAACGGAGCCATGATGCGCTTTTAGCAGGGCACAGAACTGAGGGTGGCTGGGCTCGGAACGGAGATCAGGCGGGAGCTGGTTCCACAGGACTGCGCCGATGAACTGCATGGTCGCTCGACCCGCAGGACCGGGCCAAAATGGTACTCGAATGAGGTGATGTGCTGCTCCCCGAGTGCGGTCACCAGTAACTCTCAGGAAGTAGCTGGTGAAGAGGGAGCTAGCTCGGGAGAACAGACAACGACGGAAAAAGATGAGGAGCTTAATGTTAAACTTGTCCTCCAGGGTGGTGAGGCGGAGCTGTTCAAAGATCCGGCTCGTGTGCGACCACGGTGGCAGACTGAAGAAGCCGCGGACAGCGCACTTCGTTAGACGTGTGAGGGGCTCCATGTTGCACTTGAAGTGACGGATAAAAGGCGTTGGAAGCGTACGACAACCTACCCTGGATCATCGACCTGTAAAACAGGATCTTTGACGCCAGGGTGAGGCTTCGGCGGCTCCGCCACAGCGCACCTACTGACTTCCGCACCTGCTGGATTGTGTGATTGACGTGAGGCTCCCAGGAGGGCTGCCCATCTACCATTACGCCCAGGTACCGCGCTTGTTCCACAACATTCCCACAGAGAATTCGAATGGTATCTTTGTCAGGGGCGGGGCCTCTTGGGGTAATCAACAGAGCTTGCGTTTTCTTTTGGTTCAGCATTAGTCCGCGGTCCTCCAACCACTGCGACAGGCCAGTGATGGCTGTGCTCAGAGACGAGCACACTTGTTCGCAACTGCCCGAGGCTTCAATTGCAATGTTGTCTGCAAATTCCTGGTTTGTGACCTGCTGGGGCAAGCAGCATCAAAGGTTACGGATGTATAGTGTGAACAGGAGGGGGCTGAGGACGGATCCTTGCGGCACCCCTCGACTGCATGCGACGTATTCCGAGCAATTTTTGCCCATAACTACGCGTTGAAGCCGCTCACTCAGGTAACTAGTGCACCATAGCTTGACAGTACCGCCGACCCCAATGTCGGATAGCTCCTGTGCCAAGATGGTGTGTTTGACACAGTCGAAAGCCTTCGACCTATCCACGAATATCACACCTGTGAGTTTGCGCTCATACTTCGCTTTCAGCCAGCGATTGACAGCTAGCACAAGAGCGTCCTCCGTACTGTGGTTCTTCCTGTACGCGAACTGCGAGTCAAGGAGAATACTGTGATCGGTCAGAAAGGATGTAAGCTGAGCTTTGACGATCTTCTCGAGGAGGCGAGAAACGACTGGTAGTAGAGAAATAGGTCGATACGCAGTAGGCTGACAAGGGTCAAGGCCGCACCCTTTGAATAGCGGCGACACATTAGCAATTTTAAACTGATGGGGAACACACCCCTGACATAGCGAAGTATTGAAAATCATGGTGAGCGAGGGAGCCAGTATTGATGCCGAGTTTCTAAGGACAATCATCATGTCCAGTCGCTTTGGACGCGTCAACGGACTGGAGAAGGGCCGTAATGTCCTCCGTAGAAGTGCTGGTAGTCTGCATGGTAAAGGGTTCTTAGGTCATGCAGATAGTGTGTTCAATGAAAAGCAGGGTAGAGATCATTGCAGTACATTATTGTATGCTCAAACTCGTCTTCTTCAAAGTTCTTTCTCAACAACTGATACAGTACATGTAGCAGAAGATGCGAGTGAATCAGCCTTTATCAGGTATCCTGGGGCGGACGAGAT